GTGTTTTAATGCTTCTTGTTTGTATTGGGTAGCATGGGGATAAGATTTTAACTGGTTATTCTTGAATTGCTTCTACAATAAACCAATTTTATAATCTTTAAATTCAAAAAAAAAAGAATTTCATATATTTTATGTGAATGGAAGGAAGAAATTTTTGATATTTAAATAGAAACCGTATGGTAGAGGATCTTCGTACTTAAACAGGAAATGTAAAAATTAGACAAAAAAAGTGTCTGGGTTATATGAAAGCTAAAACTTATATGGTAAAAGAAAACATAAAATTAAGAATTCATAGGAGATTTGGAAAAGTAGTTGTGACAGAGATGCCCAATAAAAGATGTGTATCTCTAATATGCACACCACTTAAAAAAATTTTTTTGTTGTTGTTCTTTTATTGGTACATTTTAGGTATACAATTCATTTACATTTATCATTGGGTGTTTGTACCTGTACATGATATATCTTGGTTCTTATTTTTTTTCCCCCATTACCTGTGCACCCTTCACCCCCTCCAGCCTTCCCTATTTATATAGATTTCATTTCCTTTTTTTTTTTTCTTTTCTCATAGTTTTTCCTTTCCCTCTTTTCCTTTCCACTTTTAAAATTTGATCAGAAAGGCCAGGGGTTTAGCTCTGTGGTTCTGGCACCTGCCTTGCAAGTGCAAGGTCCCGAATTCAATCCCCAGTAACAAAAAAAATATTTGATCAGAAGACAGCTCAACAGGAAAATGCGCAAAGAACATGAATAGGCAATTTCAGAAGAGCAAATTTACGTGTCAATATTTCAGAGTTTCTCACATTAGCAGTTAATGAAATGCATATTAAAATAATACCAAACTCTCACTGTGCACCATAAGATTGGCAAACATTAAAATGATCAGAAACACCTGTTAGGAGTGGGAATGTGGGAAGTTATTTGAATACATTGCTGATAGAAATGTGAGTTATTGCCTATTTTGGAAGGGAGTCTGGCAATATACATTAAGATTGAAAAGTGCCCCAGGAAATCTTCAGGGAATCTATCCCTAAGCAATAGAAGAACTGGTATGTACAAGGATGTTTAATTCAGCACTGTTTCTAATATCAAAATTATACACTAAATAATGCCTACATATAGTAGAGTGAGTAAATGTAGTATATCAACCATAGATTATTATATTGCCATTATAAAGAACACTAGGAGCTAATTTAGAGAGTTTCTGTGAGTTATTGTTGAATGGGGAAGGAAATATGTACAGAAGTACGTGTATTAATATATCCCATTCCTTTGTAGAAGAGTGACTAAAATCCTATGTGGATTTATTAATGAGCATGTGCCCCATAGAATTATATGTTTGTATATACCAGTAGCACATAAAAACATGGAAGAATGCATATTAGGTTGTTAACATGTTTTGGGGGCTATGATATTGCAATGGGACTAGAAAGGAGAAAAGACAAATGAGGCACATGACTAGGCAATTAGATGTGAGAATGGAACTCATGGAAGTTAGGACTCAGCATAGAGTCAACTGCAGAAGTAATTTAAGGTGCTAACCCATTAGTGTTTATCTGTATTTTTTTCCATATATTAATTTCTGCTTTATCTTGGTCAACAAGAACTGAGCAATAGATGTTATGATATTTTCTGCTTTAGCCAGCTCTTATAAAAACATTAATTGATGCATATAAGAGCTTTTACTTGTTCAACAGATTTTTCTTGAGCTCTTCTTTGTGGCAGGTACAGTTATAGGCCCCACAGTGATAAATAGAATGTACAGAATCCCTGTCATAATAAATAAATAATATCATGTCAGGTCATGTAAATGCTGTGAAGAAACCAAATTATTTTAAGGGGATAAAAAGAGAGGGAAGAGAAAGCAAGGGGAGATGACTGCTTTAGATGGGGTAGTCAGGAAAGTTTTTCTTTGAGGGGGTGAATTTGACAAAAGACCTGAAGAAAATGTCTAGGAGACAAAATCAAATAGAATGAGTTAGAAGGCCTTGAGGCCCTGGCTTTTTCTAGAAACTGAAAAAGAATACCAGAATGACTAAAGCATAGGGACTGAGAAAGAGTGTCAAGAAATGAGTTTGAAGAGTTGGATAGAACCCAGTCTTATAGGCTCTGGGGTTTTACTCTGATTGTGATGGGAAGCAGTTGAAGGGTTATGAGTCGTTGAATGTTTTGAGTACTGGAAGCTGTGCTAATTTTGATTTGGGAAAGCTCCAGCTGCTGTGTGGAAAATTGACTTTAGGGGCAAAAGAAAAGCAAGGAAGACTATTACTGTAATCTTCACAAGAGATAATCATAGTTCTCTTAGCATTATAGTAATGAAATTAGTGACACAGAGTCGGATTAGATATATATTTTGGTGTAGAGGAAGTGGAGCTTAAAGATCATGAAAGAAAGGACTAATAATTTATTTTAATTAGGTCCTCTTTGGAATCACATAAATGTTTTAAAAGCTGAATATACTTTATAGTAGTACCCTCAGCATTAATTCTGAAAACCTTTTAGAATATTAAAAAAAATAAAGCAGATAAATTAGCGGAGGAGTCACTTCCCGTTTTTGTAACTCTCAGTGCAATCCCATGACCCCTCCAGATTTTATAGGATTCCTTTTCTGAGGGCTGTCATCACTCCACTGTTTTGCCTTTCATAGTCTACCAGCACTTGTTTTGACCCTCAGACACGTTCTGTTGTAAAGATAGTAAGAGTTACTGTAACAAAACATGTGTTGTTTACCATGTACAAAGTATTAGTTTAAGTGATTTTAATATATTAAATCCTTTCGTATTCAGATAATGCTGTGAGGTGGCTGCTATTACTACTCCTGATTTACACTTGAAGAAGTTGGTAGCACATGGTACTTTAATGGCATTAGATAAACGAGTACCTGAGCCTTCTCAGCAGGCATACTATATTTTACGGTATCCCCTCTCCTGCTTGTGAGGGGATAGGATTTGTTTTCTTACTTCACTCATCTTTTTTATTCTTCTGGTTTACTTAGGGTTAAAAAACTGTAAGTAGAGGGTTTAGGGAAATAGGATGATGAGTTATAATTATGGCACCTGTAAATTTTGACTTTTTTTGTTTCACTTCCAACTGTGCCTATCCTGTTGATTATTGTTCCTCAGAACACCTAAATGACTTGAAAATTACTACTTTTTAATCTAAACAATATTTTTCAAATGATACTTCACGTCTAGAAGTAACTGAAAAGTCTTTGTATAGAATAGTGTCATGCTTTTTGATTCACAAAATGTGGTTACCATATTGTTTTGTCTTTGTATCCCTGGTGCCCAGCAGAACACTTGACACACGGCAGACGGTTAGTGAATGTTTACTGAATGTGTGAATGGAGAGACCAATTTCTCTTTGTAATATGTTCTCA